CCAGCAGGCTCTCCTCAGACTTTCTAACCCCTTCTCCCAGCAGCCAGAGCCATCTTCTGGAACATAAATCAGACCACATCAGTGCCTAGCCTAAAACCCTTCAGGGGCTCTCCAGGGGCTCCTCGGACAAAGCCCAGACTCCATTCTGCAGCCTTTGAGGCCTGCCCAGGCAGCCTGGCATCACGGACCCTCTAGCAGCAGCAGCTGAAGAAGGAAGGGGTCATGACCCATTGGAGCCTCCACCTGCCCATGTGGCTCCTTAGGGTCCGTGGAGGGCTTGAGTGCAGATGGATGCCACCACCTGGGCTGCGGGGGGATGGGCAGTGCAGGGGGATAGGCTGGGGTGTCTTGGAGCTGGGTGACCTTGCTCTTGGTCCCTTTAGCTCCATACTTCATTTTCTCCATCAGTAAAATAAGGGGCTTACCTCAGTGATGTCACCAAGAGTCATATCCAAAGTGCTAGGGCACCCGGGGCTTTCATGCGCTCGGTCCCTCCACACACACTGGAGTCAGGACAGCAGGGAAGCTGCCAGGAGTCCCATCTGTGGTGAAGGGATGCCCCTGATCTCTGGAGTGGGTTTGGGAGGTGACCCCACTTTGTGTAGCAGACAGCTTGTTTCATTTAGCACTTACCCCATCTCTACCAGGTAGACACTATTAACCCCACGTTACAGCTGCGGAAATGGTTCAGAGAGGTGCCGCCCCTTCCCCGAGATCATGTGGCATCATTCAGACGTGGGTTACTGAGTCCTGTGATCTCCCGCCCTACCCTGCAGTGTGTGTTCCATGAGGACTGCACCCTGTTTCCGGATGGTTGTACACCTGACACTGTGGGGAGCAGGGCCGGGGGTGGGGTTGGACTCTGTGTCTTCCATTTCTGGCTTCACTGTGCACCTGCGGCATGGCCTTTGAGAGGCCCTGGGACTTCTGCTGACCCGAGGTGAATTCCTGAGGATCCCTCCTCAGTTCAGCGCAGACCTGTTGAGTGGGCTGATGGAAGGGGAATAGTCATTTCCCCCTGGGGCTCGGAGCATTTCTGTTGGCAGATGTTGGAGCTGAGGCCCCAAGGCATGGGAGCAGGCCAGAACTGAGGTTCACAGATGTACCCACCTCTGGCTGTGTGGCTTTGTGCCACTCACTTTCCCTCTCTGAGCCTCCGCTTTTGGTCTCTAGGCTCTCTGGAGGGAACTCTCCGTGGAAACAGGTGCTGCAGCAGCCTGTGTGAGGAAAGAGGGAGCATGGTGTCGGCCCTTTGGAAAACTTTAAAGGGGTGCGTGTGCGGGGAATGGGGGGTTCCTCTGCAAACTCTCTACATTTTCAGAGCTACCTCCCCCCCACCCAACTTATCCTCTAGCCAAGGGCCAGTGAGTCATAAGTCACTGATTTTTTTCCCCAAAGTGTAACATTCTCTCATATACTAGAATTTCATTATTTCACAAACCCACTTCATCAGATACCGTGGCAAACAAGGCTGCCTCCTGGTCCTACTTCTGCTCTTCCCCAGGGCTACCCGGACCTTCTTGGTCCCTCTAGAGAAGATTCATGAATATGTACATAGGCAGGGGTATTTCTAAGTTTGGTTCCTTTTTTTTTAATTAAAAGAAGCTACATTAATTTATTTAGTGCATGTGCATGTATATGTGTGTGGACACATGTGCCATGGTATGCATGTGGAGGTCAGAGGACAACTTGAGAGAACCAGTTCTCTCTGTGCCGTGTGGGTCCTGGGCTGAAATTCAGGTCTTCAGGCTTGACAGTACATACCTACACCCACTAGGCCACCTTGCCATCCCTGCTTTATTTTTATACAAAATATGTTGTCTACAATTTTTAAGTTGCATGCATGTATGTGTCCCAGACTGCACAATTCACCCATGTCAAATACACGTAAGTGAATCTACTACGTTCTGAACCATCATCACAGTCAATTTTTATCACATTTTTCTTACTTCAGAAGGCCTCCCCATACCCCGGCAGCCACTAATCTGCCTCTGTTCCTGTAGAGCCGCCTTGTCATGGCGTAGGTGTTCTTTTGTGACAGACTTCTTCCAGTTGTGTTTTTAGGGTTCTCTATGTTGCAGGATATATCAGTCCTTTATCCCTTTGTATTGCCAAGTAATATTTCATTTCATAGACCTACCGTATTTTAGTTAGCAGTTGATGGACATGAGTTATTTCCATATTTTGCTTATCATAAGTGATGTGGTTGTGAACAGTCTTGTGCAAAGTTTAGCGTGCATGCGCTTTTCAGGTTTTTTTACACTTAGGAACGGACTTGCTAAGGTCACATGGCTACTCCAGGTTCAAGTATTTAAGGAACTGGTCCTTTTCCAAAGACTTGACATTGTCATTTCCTTTTAGCATCACAGCCAGCCAGGGTTATAACTCTCTGCATCCTTGACACCTTGACAACACTTGGTATTCTCTACCATTTGGCTTAGACCATCGTAGCAGGAGTGAGCCATCTCACAGTGGCTTTAATGTGACATGCCGGTAGCTGATGATGCTAACCATCTTTTCACAAGCGTATTGGTCATTTGTATGCTTGATGTGAGTGAAGGTCTGCTCACATCTTCTGCTCATTAAAAAAAATGTCATTTTACTATTGAATTGTGAGAGCATTTACACATGGTAGATATACATCCCTCTCAGACAAACTATTTATGAATATTTTCTTCCTGTTTGTGAGTTGTCCTTCCTTCCTTCCTTCCTTCTTGTCGTCCTCCTTCCCTCTCCCTCCTTCTCCCTTCCCTTATCTTATTTTCGGTGCTGTGGATTAAACTGGGGCCACGAGCATGCTAGGCAGGTATTCCACCACCGAGATACAGAGGTTATCCCCAGCTGGGTTTTTACTTTTTTTTAAAAAAGACCGGATCTCACTAAGTTTCTCAGGCAGGTTTAAAAAATGTTTTCTTGTTTTTTAACATTTATTTCTTTTGTGTAGGTGTGGATGGGAACAAGGGGACAACTTGTGGAGTTGGTTCTCATGTGGGTTCTGGGGATCCAATTCAGGCCATTAGTCTGGCGAGCAGGTGCCTTTACCGCCTGAGTCATTCTGCCAATCCCACCAGGTAGCTGTTGACTTATGATCCTCTTGCCTCAGCCTCCTGAGTAGCTAAGGTTACAGGTCTGCATTCCAAGGACAGGCCAAGTCAGTCAGTCAGTCTCTCTCTTTCTCTCTGTGTGTGTGTGTGTGTGTGTGTGTGTGTGTGTGTGTGTGTGTGTGCCTGTCTCTGTGTGTGTGAGTCTTGTTTTTTTTTCTCCGAGACAGGGTTTCTCTGTGTAGCCGAAGCTTTCCTGTAACTTACTCTGTAGACCAGGCTGGCCTTGAACTCAGAGAGCCACTTGCCTCTGCCTACTGAGTGCTGGGATTAAAGGTGTGCACCACCACCATGGTTCAGCAGTCTTATTACATCACTCAGGCTAGCCTCGAACTTGTGAGCTCCTTCCTCGTCCCCCTGAGTCCTGCCTTTTATTTTCTCACCAGTGTCCACTGAAGCACAAAAGTGTCACATTTTGATGAAGTTCAGTTTGTCTGATTTTTCCTATGGCTTGTACTGTCCATGTCACATCCGGGAACCATTGCCTAATCCAAGGTCATAGATTCATTTCTGTTTTCCTCCACGAGTTCCAGTCCCTACATTCTTCAGGTTGTTTTTCTCCTACGCAGTAAATCTATGCGCTGTTGGCACAAGAGCAAGTAAGAGCATAAAAGGACATTCTCATTCTTTTTTATAGCTGTATAATACTCAATTTTATGGATATACTATAATTTATTTACCCCATTTTCCATTGATAGACATTCAGAATCCTTCCAGTACTTTGCTTTCACAAGACTTCAGTGAACATCTGCGAATATGGATGTCCACCCCACACTAGTGAGTTTAGTGGGAAGTAGACTTGCTGGGTCCAAGTGTGTCTGCTTTTGGACATGATGATGCCATATTTCCCTCGACTGACATGGGGCACCAGCTGTCACTACCAGCAACCTGTCTAAAATGTGAGCCATTTACGCTGGGCGGCAGTGGCGCACCCCTTTAATCCCAGCACTCAGGAGGCAGAGCCAGGTGGATCTCTGTGAGTTCGAGGCCGGCCTGGTCTACAGAGTGAGATCTAGGACGGGCATCAAAACTATACGGAGAAACCCTGTCTCAAAAAAACAAAACAAAACAAACAAAAAATGTGAGCCATGTGCTGATCACTGTGTGCCATATATCAAACATTCAAACATTTTTTGGTCCCTAAACAACGATCCTGAAAGCCAGAGTGAAAATCCATACCTTACAAGGATCTAAGGTCACATGGTCTGTGTGACTCTCTCCCCCCTCCCCCCTCCCCCTCCCCCCACCCCTGTTCAGTCCCTGTATCTTCAGAGGGCCTTGGCCACTTCTGAACTAGCAGAAGGATGAGACTGGCAGGTGTGCCTGGAGGGTTAGAGATCACACTCATGTGGGCACAGAAAGTATGCCCTACCACTGAGCCGCAGCCCAGCCTAGAAGTCTAACTTCCCATCAGGCAGGACTGGGCTCTGCCCCGGCTCAGGCAGTGTCTTTGGGTAAGTCATTGCCTTCATGGTGCCTCAGCCTCCTCGGGTGAGTGCTGCCCTGACTTACAAAGAGCTCTAATGGCCATCATTTCCCCTGCTGGAAAAGTGGTGAGAAATGAAAGGGAAAATATGGTGGCTGTGTGTGTGTGTGTGTGTGTGTGTGTGTGTGTGTGTGTGTGTGTATGGGAGAGGGGGAGAAAGAGGAGCGGGGGAGAGAGAGGGGGAAGAGAGAGAGAGGGAGAGAGAGAGAGAGAGAGAGTCCTTCCAGGGAGGAAGACATTTGAATGGAGCATGGAGGGTAGCTTTGAGCAAGCAATGGTATTCCAGGCAGGAGGATGCTGTATGACAAACATTTCCTGGGGAGACCCAACACACACACACATATGTCTAGTCTGCTCACCCCAGATAGGGAACCCTCAACAGACCAAAAGTATAGATACCACTAAAGTCCAAATTGGTGAACTGATGAGTTTTAAGGGGTTACTTACAGAAATATGGGTGAGGGGTTACTTATAAGAGCAGAAATGACTCAAAGACAGCTGTATCACCAAGGCCCACCCCAGCATGGGTGACAGCTCACAGAGCTGGGAACCTGGAGCACACTGCACTGCCTGCAGGCAGCTGAGCAGCTTGGAGGGCATCCTTTCCAGGTGCCTCAGTTGGTCTAAACCTCTTCCTGGTTTCTGCTTCTTCTAGGCAACTGGTTGGGCCTCACAGTCTTCTTTGCAGCTCAGCGTCCTTCCTTCTGTCTGAGAGGGAAGCTCAGCTTCTGTTGCTTACTCTGGTAGGGAGGGCCTGGTGGGTCTGGTCAGTTTCAGGGACTTCCTGAAGCTATTTTGAGTTGTCCAGCTGTTACACTCTTCCTGCCCCACTCTTCAGCAATGATCCCGGAGCCTTGGAGGGGGTGACTGTAGGTGTCCACTTATGGCTAAGAAGTAGTCCACGTGTCACAGTGACGGTTCTCGGGAGCTTCCCCAATGGTCATGAGTGAGCTGATAACACTGATCTATGGGCATAAATACACGTTTAGAAGGCAGTTTAACAGACATATCACATCCATCTAGAAGAAAAAAAAAGTTGCATTCCCATTGGGACCTATGACTTCCCCAGCCACAGACCTATCCTGGCTTACAATACCAGGCTGGGACTCCCTCTTGTAGAATGGGCCTTAAATCCAACTGGAAGGCTGCGGGGTCTCTCCCAGTAGTGGAGCCACTACTATAGGAGCAGGCACATCCTGCCTGGGGTGGTGGCGTTGTCACATGAAGGGTCCATAGTCAAGCAGGGGTGGTAGTGGTAGGAATGGCAGACTTGCCCTGATCCCAAGGTAGAGGCTGTGGGAGCCACCAGAGTAGCTTGAAAGCCTGGAGCTCCGGCTGACGTCAGAGACATAGCAGCTATGGAAGGCCATGGTGTTGTGGGGTACTTGTACACTGTATGTTGCTGTGGTTGATTTAATAAAGAGCTGAGTGGCTGATAGCCAGGCAGGAGGTATAGGTGGGACTTTCGGCAGGGAGAGGGAAGTAGGAGATAATCGAGGCACAGGGAGCCGCCGACGAGACGTGGGGGGAGTCGGACATACAGAATGAAAGAGAGGTAAAAAGCCTCATGGTAAGACCTAGATTAATAAAAGCAGGTTAGTGTAAGTCATAAGAGCCAGTGGGACAAGCCTCAGCTAAGGCCAAGCTTTCATCGTTAATAGTAAGTCTCTGTGTCGTTATCTGTGAGCGGCGGGCAGAACAGAAAAGCGGACTACACCATGGTGCAAGGCAGTCCTGCTCGGCGTGTCCCATCTGCCGCCTGAGCAGTCTTCCCTCTCTGAACCTCATTTCTTCTTGAGGAGCAGCCTGAATAATGCTGAAGAACGAGGGGTCAGGGGTCAGGCAGCCCGGGTTGGTTTCTAGCTCTGCCACTTATGAGCTATATGACCTTGGCCATTTTTGTCACTTAGCCTTTCCTGCCTGTAGTTTACTCAGCCATAAAAAGTAGTTGCTGCTGCTTCCTGGGGTCACAATGAAGAGCACAGGGCTCTGAGGCCTGTGCTTGGCACACAGTGCATGCTCCATGTGGTGGCTGGTAGTAGAGCATGTGTCCTGTCTCTGACTGGGAATTCCAAGGCCTTCTGAGTGAATGGATGCTCAGGCTCTCTGGGGGATCTGGAGGGCTCATCGCTCATCACTAGTTCTTTCAGCAAATGAGTTGTGAGCACTTGCTTTACGCCAAGCCCTAGAAGATATTGTGAGGCCATCTCACAGAACTCTGACCTGACCCAGGGTACTGAAAGCCAAACTCATCATTTCAGATACCCACACTTTCTTCCTGTGTCCTACCTGTCCTGGATCAGGCATCGTAATTGCTAGCCAAGTGCCTTTGTCTCTGAGCCATACTTTCAACTTGGGTATTCAAAAAGAAACTTTTTTTTTTTTGAGACAGGGTTCTACTACATATCTCTAGCTGACCTGGAATTCACTGTGTAGACCAGGCTGGCCTTGATCTCACAGAGATCTACCTGCCTTTGCCCCCAAGATCTGGGATTGGCATGCACCCCCACATCCAGCCAGGAATTAGAATCTTATCACTCAGGCTTTAGCTGAGCTCCCAAATCTGGATGGAAGGAGTGACTTGCCCTGCCCTGCTCTTTTCACAGAACAGACCCAGAGAGTGAGCGTAGATGCCGGCCCTGAACCACTAGCACATGCTTCTCCCTGGCTCCTATGGTGCCCAGGATTGGCAGGTGGTAGGATACCCTTGGATACTGGATAGAGCTCAAAGATGAAAACAGACAGGAAGTGGGTGTGTAAGAGAGGAGAGTCAAGATCCTTCCAGGTGCCTGGCTTGAGCAAGAGACACTGGAGAAGGCCTTTGGTGCAGCAGGCTGAGTGGTGAGGACTTGGGGCTGTGGACAGGAGAGGAAGGACCAAATGCTTGCTGGACAAGAGCATGTTTTCCCCTGGTCTCCCAGAGACTCTCTGGATAAGACTTGCTTCCAGAGCTGTCCAGTTGACTGTTTGGAGGCAGAGAAGAGGCCCAAGCTGTTGTTGTGAACCTGGTGTCACTCTGAGATGACCAGGAGATAGACAAGACCCCTGAGGATGCTAACAAAAAGAGATCTTGTCTTAGTTTCAGGCTTTCTCCTTCTGTGGAATCCTTCCACTTTTTAATATTAGCAATAACTTAAAAATTGTAATACACTCCCACAGGTCCCTGAAACATATCCATAGCCCCCATTGGGCCTGTGGCCTCCTGGATAGGGTTCTCTGGTGTGTATGAGTGAGTCAGACTGCCTGGATTGAGTCCCGGCTGTGGGTCCCTATGTGAGTGAGTGACAGCCCTGAAGAGCTTCCGGTTCCTCATCTGGAAAATGGGAACAATCACAGTGCCATCTCCTGGTGACATAGTAGTTTCTGGACTGACAGTTCAAATAAAATATTCATGATGGCTTTTGTCAGTGACCAGGGTGCTTGAGCTGGCCAGGAGAGATCTTGTCTGCCTCTGACTCGCTGTGTGAACTCGGCCTGGTTTTAGTCCTCGCTGAGAAAGCAGTTTTTTTCCTTGGAGTTAGAGGATGTCCTGGGTGCCTTCAGGGGCCTCTGAGTGCCCCTCTAACCAGCACCCTCCCCGCCTCGCTCCTTCCAGCCTCGCCCACCTGCCACTTCCCACCCTCTACCCTGCGACCAAAGTGATCTTTCAAAAACCACAAATCTCAGCATGGTCTTTTCCTGCCTGGAGAAAATTGATGTTGATGCCCCATTGCCTTCAGGAATAAGCCCCAGGGTCCTGACCTGGCGTGGGCAGGAGGGGCTGGCCCTCGCCTCTCTCCCATCATCTCTTCCCATCACCCCTGCCGCATACAGCCTCGGCTCCCACCTCGATGGCCCCATGGCCCTTGGTGCTGGCACCCCCACCCCGTCACAGCCCACATCCCTGCCTTCTCAGCTACCCCACAGTTACCCAGTGTCTGTGTTTCTCAGATCTAACACCGCCTTTCTGCCAGCGATCCACCCACAGCTCTAAAGCCTTCTTGTTCTCGCTCTTATCCCTTTCTCCATAGCCCATTCTCGATGAGCAGCCAGAAAGAGTCTATTGTCATTTGGGAGGCTGAGGCAGGAGGATTGCTAGAGGTTCCAGACCAGCTCGGGCTACATAGGTCACTCTGACCTAAAGTACAATGCCATCAAACAAACAAACAAATAAATAAATAAAAATAGGAATTTGGATATGTCACCACCTGCTTACATTTTCTCTGTGGCTTCCTGTTTCACTGGCAGTAGAGACAGGACTTCCAGACCAGCTCCCATGCTGTCTCGCCCAGGCTGCTTGCCGTCTGGAGTGACTTGAACACTGTCACTTCAACAGAGCCTGTGTGGCCATCACACCTCACCGACAGGTGAGAATCACTCCTTCTAGTGACCATGCTGCAGGACCTTCCTGGTAGCACTGTAGTAGACACCCTTCCTCTTGGCGAAACGGTCCAGCCAAATGCCGCTTCCTCTGTGACGTCTTCTTCCGCACAGCCTCCCCGAGATCGTTCCTTCCCCCGTTGCATCTTCAGGCGACAGAGCCAGCCCCACGCTGGCTCCTGTCAGCTTGCTCCTCTTGCTGTGGGTCCCCACACTTGGTGCTGTCCTCATAGAAGCTGCTGGAGGCAGGAGGCAGTGAGGAGAGCGGACGGTATTGGAGCCTGACCTGTGCTAAGTGCTTGGACACGCCCTCGCCTTACTCCTCAGAACCCCATAGGGTCAGCTCCCCTAGAAGCCCCATTTTAAAGAGAAGCCAACAAAAGTTTGAAGAGATTTAGCCATGTGTCCTGCCCGAGGTCACCAGCCAGTCTTCCTGAGCAGGAGAGGTTAGTGAGTACCCGCAATGACTATATATAGCACCTTTCACATGCCAGGTACTGGGCTGCGCCCTGCACACATTCCATCCTCTCGGGGACATCCACTGCACTCCACCTCAGGGCTGGGAAACTCAGCTACAGGCACTCAGGAAGCCAGTCACAAGAGGGTCAAGCTTTGGCTTATGCTCCCTGGGGCCCCTGTCATGACTGCCACACTGTGATATACTGAGACATAGCAGACTCCTCCCTCTGGCCTACCTGGGAGGTCATTAGCACCCCAACACCTGGGCTAGCCTCCAGCCCTGGGAGGTACTGGCTAGTGGGTGTGTAACGAATGAGGGAACAGGTAGTTGAGGATATGGGCCCTGCCCCAGCCATTCTGCAGCTGTTTCCTGAAGCCCAAAGGTACAGCCACCCCTCTCCTAGCCGCAGTGACCCCCAGCACCCTGTTGTCCAGACAGCCCTAGGGAAGGAGCAGATCCATAAACATGAGGTTCCTCAAGGGCTCAGGAGGGGCACTGGGCGCTGTACAAGTCCTCAATATTATTGCTTTATTGTCATTTAAATGGAGCCTGCCTCAAACAGGCCACCCAGTTCTAGCCACCAGCGCTGGACAAAACCTCCATTGAAAAGCCAATTACAATCACTCCATCTAAATTGTCATGGATTTGTATAGAAAATTACATCTCCATTTAGTCCTGAAGCAACGTCCTAGGCATGGACAGAGGGGAGGCTGGCCCATTTACCTCGCCAGCTCAGCGCGGGTGCCGCAGGCAGAGAGAAAGCCCAAGCTGCCGGCCTTGGCTAGCCCAGGAACAAAGGCCAGTTTGTGGGGGCCCAAAGAGAAGCCGGGCCTCTGAGGGCGTCTCAGATTCCAGGCCTGGGCCGATGGACCCTGCACTGCCAGCTGGTCTCCCCTGCTGGCAGCTCTGGCCAGACAAGCTTCTGACAGCCGGCTTTAGGCGGCCGTCAGCCCTGCCACTATCCAAGGGGCCTGGAGCTTGGCTCTTGTCCACACTGCCAGGAAATGAAGGAGGTTAGCCTGGGGATCACTGGCCTAGGATCTTGAGAGCTTGGGTCATTCATTCATTCATTCGTTCATTGATCACTGTTGCTAAAGGGTCTTTGGGCAGTATGAAAAGCATAGTAACAGAAATGAGCTCCAGCCTCAGGTGTCCTGGGTTCCGGTCCAGACTCTGTCCTTAGCAGTCTTTTCAATTCTGAAATAGTTGCTGAGCACCTACTCTATGCCACAGAACAGAGTATAGCAGAAGCCAGGACAAAATGCCGTGTCTCCTTGTCCCTTAAAGCCAAAGGGAGATGTGCTCTTTTGTGAATGACCCAGCCTCTGAGGGAATGAACAGGAGCTGCTTGAGTTTTGTACAAGAGTTGTGTGTGAGTAGACAGTTCTAAAGGAATAAGCCAGAAGGGTGCTCCAGGCTGAGGAGACAGTCCGTGTCTGGACGGGGGCAGTTGGGCTGGCTGGGACAGCAGTGAGCAGTTGGTGCCTCTACGGGCTGCTTCTCTAAGACTTGGTTCCCTCAGCTGTAATGTGTGCATGATGGTAGGACTATTCCAGCTATTCTTATTAGGGTTAGTGCAAGGCCTTGCCCAGGCAGACCTCAAAGAGTATTTGCTGACATACTCCCGCTCACCTTGGGTGTATGTGATGAAGCCGGGGTTCTGATACCATGCACTGTGAGTGTGACTGCATTTAATTGTGTGTGAGACTGTCCCATGACTCCATATGGTTGTGTGACTGTGAGGTCATGTGTTCACGTATGCAACTATGACTGTTATCGTGTGTTGACAGTCACTCACATTTCTGGTGGCCTCACAACCCCCACACAGTGTTCTCAGACTGGCTGTATGTGGCTGGGTCAGACTGTGTGCCATGGCCTAAACATTGTCTGTCTGGGCCCAGTGGAACACCTGGCTGGCATGGCTGGCCAGCACAAAAGCAGGGCTAGGACGGGACAGGTGGGTGCAGCAGGTAAGGAGGGCAGAGTTCCCATCCTCCCCCACCCAGCCCTACCAGGTAGACTGGCCAATGCAAAAACAACCCCATCAGGGACTGCTCTGTGTACAGAAAACAAGTTCTTCTGGTATCAGCTCAAGTTTGGCAGGAAGTGGCTTTGGGGTGGCAGGAAGTTGGATTCAGCTCATATCAGCGCCAACCGAGGGAGCAGGGGAGCAGTTATCTAGGGTTAAACAGAGTTACCAAGAAGTGGGGCCCACCACCTCCCCATCCCGATAGTGTTGAGGGCCAGCCCACCCCTCCCGGTCACTTGGGATGGGGATGGTGGAGGGCTGGAAAGGAGAGCTGCCCCAGGCACATACCAACTGAGTCTAAAACGCAGACAGCCCATTAGCCACCTCTCATTATCCCCTTTTGGTCTGTTCATAAAGACAGACCTGTCCAAGGTCACCAAAGCAAGGGGCTCACAGTTACCTAAAGATAAGAAAACCCAAGCAGAGGGACAGAGAAAAGACGGAACCGGGACAGAGCTGGTGCCACAGAGAGAGGCATGCAGAGAGAGCAATGAGTGCTGGCGGAGACTTGGAGTATGCCCACAGTGTGCAAGGCCAGCCCATGGACATCACAGCTGACCATGAGGTTCTGAACCCATTTTCCAGATGTGGGGCCAGGAAGACTGGAGTGCCTCACATGTTGAGCCAAACCTAGGCTTGATTCTAAAGCACAGGGTTTTTTTTTTTTTTCCAGGCCACTTCCTGTGCCCAACTTCTAGAAGCACAGTGGCTGTCTACAAGGCGACGCCCCGCTGAGGAGCTGACCCAGTTGTCCAGTGGCAAGCCAGGGTCAGACTTGGACAGGGTGGCTACTTTTACCATGCAGCAGAGAGTGCTCAGCTCTGGCAGTGCAGACAGAGAAAGTCAAGGCCCTGCCCTTGGGTTGGTACTCAGCCACTGGAATGGGTTTTGTAACTGGTCAGAAGCAGAGTTCTCCTAAGGCCCAGCCCTAGACCAGCTGTGTCCCTGACCCCGACTCAAGCCCCTGGCAAGGAGGCTGCTGGCCCTGTTCTGTCCCAAAGCAGCACCAAGCTGTTCTCTGGCTGAGATGCTGATTTGAAACTCAGTTTGCATGTCGTTTGCACATTACTCAGTGTGTGTCAGAAGGTACGAACATCTCCCTTTCCGGGAGAGGGCTGCCTGCCGGAGGCCCCCCTGCCCTCCTCCAGACAGCAAAAATGCCAGCCGGCTAGACGGGAGCTACGCCCTGGCCTCTGATAGCACCCGCCTGCTGCCACCTCCCCCATTCCCTCCTCGAGCCAAATTTAGGCTGCTCTGCTACTGAGAGATGGGGAGAGAGGAGGCAGGAAACCCTGAGCTGGAGCTGCTAAGCCAAGGCCCGTATAGGGTGGGGCTGCCCCAGGGGTACCCCTGTCCCTAAAGCCCTGGGCCTAGCCTCCCCCCCCTTCACACTGGAAAGAAGCCCAATTGGGGAACACTGGGTTCTCTGCCACAGCCCAGGGTGCTGGCTGCCTTGTCCATCATGGATGAGAGAGAGAGACAGAGAGAAGAGGTCATGGTCAGGGCAGTGGGGAAGGGATCAAATAGCGTCCTCCTGCCCCAGACACTCGCCGCCGTTGGGTCCCAAGAGCTGGCTTTGCTTATCTGTACTTCCTGCCTTTCCTTGGCATGCCCCCCTTTATTGTGGGGTGGGAGGCTCTGGGTCCAACTGAGTCTGAGGGGACTGACCTCTTTCCCAAGGTTCCATCACGCAGTGTGCCAGCTTCCTGCCTTGGTTTGTCTTAGTTTTTCTATCTGGGAGATGAGAAGGGAATGACTTTCCAAGTGGCTGTCTATGCCGAGACCTAGGGTTTCTGGAAGGCTGAACATAAATTAGGAACAGTGGCTTCAGGCCTAGAAGCTTCCTGGATTTTTCAGGGACTAGGAGAGGTGACTTGTAACAATGCTGGGGACAGGACTCGAGTAAGCTGAGCCAGGAGAAACAGGGGAAAGACGTGAGCTGGATTGCAGCCACCTCAAATCCAGAGGTGGGTTAATAGATCCCAGTACAGTAGCTGGGGCATGGATCCTGGGGTAGGGCCGCCTGGGTTTGAAGGCCACCGTCAGTTTTCTGCATCTCTTTCCTCGCCTGTAAGAGGAGAGTGATACATTTCCAGGGTTGCTGGAAGGTGAAATGAGGCAGTGAACGCTTGGCACATAGTAGGTGCACCACGATGCCAGCCACCAGTGTGATTGTTTTGTCCCCAGAGCAGTTGAGAAGTCCCAGGGAAGGCATTGTGGCTCCGTGGCCAAATGGGAGCCATCAGCATGGGTGTTCAAGTCTGCATGACCCTGGGCAAATGGCCACACCCCGCTGAGCCTTGGGAGAGGAGCAGCGAGGCGCTTACCTCCGAGGGTCTGGGAGGACTGCGCGAGCTCAGGCTTGGCACGGCGCCTGGCACATAGCGGGCAGTCCCTGAAGGAGCCAGTGGTACCGCCTCGCACAAAGGACAGGTGGGCAGCGTCGGGGTGGAGGGCGGAGCGGGGCAGGTGTGCCGAGAGCGAGGAGGCGGGGCCGGAGCCGGGCGGGAGAAGGTGGACCGGCGCGCGCGCGCGCGGCAGGTGCGCGCGGGATGGGCGGGGCCCCCGAGCGGGCGGGGTCTCCAGGTGCGCGGGCATGCGCCAAAGCGGCGGGCGCCCTGGGCGCACGGCCGCAAAGCGTCCCTGTGTCTTTAACGCCCCCCTCCCCGCGTCCCCCTACCCCTTTGTGCACCCCCCTCCCCAACCGGGCAGCAGCCGCGGAGCCGTCCCCCCTGCACTGACAGCTGGTATCTAATTACTGTGTGAGAATGGAAAGTCAGGCTGTCCCAGCTCCGGGGAGAGGGGATTAACGTCTCCTGCAGAATACACTTCCTCTGGTGGGTTGCCATGGTTACTCTCATTACCTGCCTGCCCGCGAGGAGCCGCACGAGCCGCTCCAGCAGGCCCTCGGAACCGGGGCCGGTACACGCAGGCGCGCGCACTCGCGGGCGCAGGCGCGCGCCTGTCTCCCCGCCCCTTCCCTCCGGGAGCGCACGCGCGTGCGCCGTAGGGAGTGCGAGCGCTCTCACCCCTGCCCCTCATCCCGCCCTAGCAGCTGTCAGCGGCGCGCGCGGCCCGCCGGCCCCTGCGCGCGCTGTCAACAGTCATTAGCGCGCGGGACGCGCCCCTCCCCCTCGGTCCCCCAGCCCGGGGTGGGGCCCGCACCTGGGGCCCCCTGCTCGTTAGCGCACCCGGGCCTCCAGCTTAGGTCCGGAGGGACCTGTCGGGCTCAGAGCCTCCTCCTTCCACCTAGAACCCATTCAGAGGTCCGGTCCCCGAGGGAGGCGGGACCCCAGAGTCTCAGAGGGCGCCCCCTCCTGCAGTGGTGACGACAGCGGTCATTGATGAATGTCTCAAGAGGGCAGGCATGTTTGTGCTTCGTTCGGGCTTCCCGCAGCCCTCCGCCGGTGAGGTGGTGAAAGCCGTGGCGCACTTGGTGTCATTTCGCGCTCGAGGAAACTGAGGCGCAGCCCCTCCTCGTCTGAGGGCAGGGCTGGATTGTCTTCTGGCTCTGCCTCGCTTCTAGGAGCACCCTTATTGCTCAGATCAGGCCGGTCCCTGACCCTGCAGTATCTCCCAAGGGAGGCTTCATCCCCGCCTGGCACTTCCTTCCCCCGCCCTTCTCTTTCCCAAAAGGGTTGCCTTAGCCCGCTGCACTCCCTCCCTCCCCCCCTACCCTGCCAGGAACCCCAGAGTTAAAGCCAAAAGAAAGGAAAAAAGAAGAGCAGAAAAGGAAAAGGCTCCGGGGAGCAGCTTGAAGGATGTGGCACCTCGCTGTGGCTTCGGGGTCCGTCCCAGGCACTCTCTCTGTGGGCCCGGGCGTGCATGTTGGTCCTCGGCGTGATTTGAAAGAAGATAGAGGTTCAGCGAAGCAGAAAGGAGGTCTTGGAATATGTGAGGCTGTTCCAGATGGCAGGTGCGACTCGATGGCAGTGCTCCGCACTAACAGTTGGAGATTGAGCACAAGGGTGGATAAGAGGCAGGTGCTACATTGAGTCCTCAGTGCCTTGCTTATGCATTTATTTATGGGTGTGGGGAGGGCTTCCTCCCACTGCCCCCTCCAGGTCTGAAGAGCTCAGTGGCACTGGGGGCCAGAGAATTCCAGTGTGAGCCTTGTTTTGAAGGGATTGCTTGTTTTCAGTTAGGTAATTAATATTTAGAGTCAAGAGAAATAAAAAACACTGTCACTTGTATTTGAGCAGGGCCCTCCTTGGCCATCTGATTGCAACCTTACAAGTTATCACCAGCTTCTCCTGGGACTCTGGGAGAGACTTTCAGAGGTTGGGGTGATGCTCTTTCAGTCTGCTTTTCCATCTCTCGGTTTTCTGTGGTTTTAAGATCTCTCCACCTCTTCCTACCCCTCTGTGGCTCCTCTGCAGGGGGCTAACTCCTCCCCTTTGGGTCTTCCTTTAGCTCTGCTCAGGGCTTGGAATAAGACTCCCTTCTCCTGAAACTTCCCAAACTCAAGTCCTGGCCAAATTGATTAAAGCAGGAACAAGCCCTGTCAGTGCCTGGGAGGAGCATGCCCAGTGCCTTTTGCTGTGTTCTCAGCCTCTTTTCTGCCTGGCCTAGATGGGATGGAGCAGCATCATTGAGTTTGCCTGCGCAATCAACCCCCTGAAGTCCCAAACTCCCACACAAGTGGAAGCCAAAGGTTTGTCCCCTGGGGTGTGTTCTGCTGACTGATGCCGTCCTGTAGCAGCAATCCCGTTGATTTTCATGCCTCGTTAAGAGTTGGATCTGGAATGCACCAAGAGCGCATATTTTAAGGACTTTCTTGGTGGTTCCTTCCTCTCCCTTAGGAGGAACCCACTTGAGAAATGTGCCTGCTATTTAGCAACATCCTCTCAACCAAGGCCTCCTTGTGGCTGGGAAGCATAGTTCCCTCTTACAGTGATGAAGCTATGCTAAAAGGTATCCCGTGGCTTGAAACAGTGTTCTCACCTTGATAAGTCTGTAACTTGTTACCAGCCAGCAACTTCAAAGTTGCAGAGATGATGACAGAGCTGAGTCCATTAGCAATTGGACTGTGCTTGCTATCAAGGCCAGGGGTCCCTTCAGTTGGCTTCTATAGGAGATGGACAGGATTCCATCTGAGGGCTTGACCCAAGGGATTCTCCCAAGGATTGCCATGAGGCCACCTGGCAGGAGCCTGATGGCCTGCCAAGATGCCCTGAGTCCTCTCATTGGTCTTCAACCCTGTATATAACAATCTCCTTTTGATAAGTATTCTGGTCACTTGAAAAAACTGAGGAATTCAATTCCTCCTAAAGTAACTTTGCCAGGAAGTCAAAGTGCAGGGTCAGGCTTGTGGGGGTGGGGTGGGGGTGGGGCATCCCTGTCCATGCACCTGTGATCCACAGTAAGTCTCTGGGCAGATTTCTTGAATTTATAGTAACATTGCCTAATAAGAGTCTT